TGGAATGATCTCCATTATTCCCTCCTCCACAACGCTCTGATTACACCCTCTCTATGTCAACGGACGCTGCTGTGTTTCTGCTAGTTAACGTGGTATGTGCTTCACTTTCAGCCCGGCATCAGTGGAGCCACACAGACTGTGGATACAACGAGAGTACTCCCTGTTGGAAGCAGCTTTGTGTAGGGAAGAGAAACCACAGGCCGTGACAAGTTTGCCTTGACGTTTCATTTCTTATGCGACTACGCAATCGATTCAGCGTGGGAAATGTACAATTTTGCCAAAACAAATACAAATTTCACAAGGATGGTAAGACTGCTGGCAGCACCTCACCTCAGCACAAAACCCAGTTCCAACTAAAGTGTTTCTCTTAACCACGTCTGTCTTGCTCCTCGTATTCAGAGAACCGAATTGTTAAAGTGCTTTTTCAACCACCACTTTCAACATAATTCAACATGAACGCCTTTGGGCAGCGACACGGTTCAGATTCAACTAGATGAAGTTGTTGTTGTAGCCACACGAAGCGTAATGCTGGAGGAAACAACTGCTCATCGAGCAAACAGATGTTAACAAAAAGACTTTCAAGCTTTATGAAAGACAATTTATGATATAAACATTGAATCAAATGACTCCCTGTAATATGAGAGGATGGTAGTATTGTAGATCACACTGAGAAGCTGCTCTACACTGCTTTTTTGTTGCCTTAACGTCATTGTTTTTATTTGAAAGTCAACATAGTTGAGTCCGATAGATTTGCATTGACCCTTCAAAATAAAACCATGAATAGTGTGTTTTAAGTGGTATTAAATTCCTGCAAGTACCCCAAAGGTAGGCTACATCTCAGGTAATGATGTACATACATACATACACATAATCTGTATACTTTCATACATTATTTCTAAAATACAGCCCACAGCGTTTGTGTAAAACATCCAAAGGTTCATGAAGATTAACACACCATTGTTATTGCTAATAAATGGAGCATGAGAGGGACAATGCCCGCTGAGCTGTCCACAATAAAGACTTAATGGACAGCGGAGAGGCCACAACGGGGAGGCCACAACTGTCTGGCGCTCAGCGGGGCCTTTCCCTGGTAACACCTGGGGGGTGGCTAATACCTGGAACAATTATTACCATCCCATGAGGTTCCCTATGCAATGTAAACGTAAATAGGACCGACCTTGGATACAACTTGGCAATGGGAGATATTTCTAGGCTCGGCTCATAGAACCCTTCGGCTCGACTACGAGCCAGGAAGCTAACTTTAGGCTCACAAGATCCAATAACATTGCGTATGGTTGACCAACAGTGAATATGATCTGACAGCATGTAAGACAACATAACAAGCTAGTTATCCAGCCATGTCACTGTTCCCAAATTACAAATTCTTCATTAGCATAATGTTTTTAGCAAGATTCAAAGTCAATACCATTGGGTACGGTTGACAAACAGTACATATAATTCAACAAGCAGACTAGCAAGCAGGTCCATGGCATTATAACTGTTGATATCCAAACCAAAACCAAATGCTGAAAGCTTCACAGAGCGCAGAGCAGACTGTTGATCAGCAGAATGAGCGTTCCTTTTACAACAGAAAGCCATCGGAGTTTACTGCAGTGTTACAATTCTCCATGAATGGTGCTCTGGTGCACATGAACAGCATTGTTTCCGTAGGGCACTGAATGACAGTATTTATTGCTGTGTTAATTAGAGCTTTGTGCCCACCCAGACGTGTTCCTGGGTTCAGCTTTTCATAGTTTCACTTTCCCAGATTCATTGTTACGAGCTGCTGTTTCATGACTTGGCAAATTGAGAAGTACACTTGCATGTAAATACATTTAAAGTGTACATATAGACACTTGTACCAACGTAGAGTAGACTTAGCCTACATTCCTATTGTTGATAAGAAATTGTCAAGTATACACTTAAAATGTAGCGCAGCACAATTTACAGCGCAGAGAATACATCGAATAAGAAGACATATATGAGTGCATTTAGTGCATAATTAATGCAATTATGATTTATACAACTGCAGTTAGAAATGTGGACTTATCACGGTACACCTCCGTACCGTGCATAATACAACCAACAAACAACATAATACAAACAACCTGATTTAACTTCATGGGTATTCTTTCGAGGCTGTTATGTTGTGTTACATAAAGGTGTTATGAATATTTAGTCTCATTGATATTAATAGTCCTTCAACCAGCGATATCCACCTCCTTTACAACAGCTCTCTTGCTTTCTCAAAAACCATTGCTGGCACAGTGTTTTCTCACAAGGACAGAGCGAAACAATGGTGAAGTGGACACATCGGTGAGTGTGGATGAGGATCAGCGACGACAAAAAAAAGTGACGCACGAATAGAATCCGGAAGTAAATTATGTCAAACTGTGATCGGGAATAAATCTAGAGCGACAGAAGTCTGACCCGTCTATCCCTGTCGACTGCCAAGTATCCAACTCTGCCTCACTGACGTCCTCTCTGCGCTTCGACGAAAAGACTTAACACAATGGAAACTACAAATGATTTGCTGTCCAAGAGAGAAACGGTGAAGAAGAGTGATGGAGCCAGAGGGAGAAGTGGGAGGGGGGGGAGCTGAGCCAGCACTCAGAACTCCTGAAGCACCAATAAGTGGCCAACAACAATCCCTCTATTTCTTTAAAACTCTGAGTACTATATCTCTCTTTAGAGACCCTTCTATAAACCACTTCAGCTCTTCCACTTCAACACTATGTATGTTTTAGCCACCTTAGCTGAGGAGCTGACAAACTGGCGTTAGCATTAGCACCCGCTAGAGTAACTCAAATAAAGTCAACAACATAGACTGTTTCTAAGAAGTAGGACAAGTTCTGCATTTCTTGTTTTCTTGCAACCAGTGAAGGGAAAGCTGTCAATCACAGTAAGCCCCGCCCTAAAGCCTACCCTGCTTTACAACCAGCAGAGGCATACAACCAGAGGAGTCGCCCCCTGGTGGACATTAGAGAGAATGCAGCTTTAACACATGAAGCAATGGCTTCACTTTGGAGAACCGGAGGTTGTCGCCTAGTGAACAACCAACAGCTATCAGCGGTGAACGACTGCTAGCATAGCACTCCTGCTTTAGAGATTTGATATGAGAACACAGGGCTTTATAGTACTTTTTTTTGCAGCAAGTGCCTTTCGGTTTATTCTCATCATGTACATGAGAAGAATCCAGATGGATTATAATATATATTATAATTCACTTGTGAGCGGAGCAGAGGAACAAATAACAGACAAAAGCCAAAGTGTTTTTCTCCGACCTGAACGGATGGCTCGCCTATTGAGCATCTCTCCAACATTTATTTTCCCGCTCTAATTCCTGCTGCGTCTTTCTCTCCAGTTGGTGATGAATGAAGCTGAAGTTGATGTGATGTTTGCTTAATGGAAAGGTAAGAAGAGCAGAGTGTCTGCAAAGAGAACATTTATTTCAATCTCCTCCTTTCTCTCCATGACAGGAATCACTGATATCAGCTCTTTGTCCCTGGGGAGAAACAGCTTTGCTTTTCCGCTCACATGCTCACATTAGAGCTGCACCATATTGGAAAAAATAATGTCTTTTTATTGCATTTTATATTTTATGCGATATGAAACATAAAGTAATGGTATAACAAATGTTTTTTTGCATGCAGAGCCGACGTGTCCGTCAGCAGCAACACAGTCTGTGTATCCGAGACCCCTGAAATCAGAGTTGTGTGCAGCAAGAACAAATGTTTGAGCGTGACGTGTTTGAGATCATTTGCCTCACTTGACGCGTCGCACCATGTGACTAATGCAGACGCACACATTGCGACGTCAACGCTGGAGCGATTTATCACATGCAGACACACAGAAACACACACACACACACACACACACACACACACACACACACTATATTTGTTGTATTCCTTCCCCCACCTTCACACCTCTCTTAAACACTTACACTGCCAGTCTCACGTGTTGTCTGTTTGTTTCCCTGCTTCTACGACCCACTGTCATCTTTCCATCAGTATAACTTTCCTTCTTTCCATCGTTTCTCTGAATCCTTTCATTCGTCTCCTTCTCTCTTTCCCTTTATTAGTCTCTGCCAACATCAACAGCCGGTCAAATCTCTGCTTTGTCTGCTCACTCATTCTTCACTCGGCGGCGTTACAACTTGGAGGAATATGAACTCTGTGTTTGGGGGGTCGGAGTGTGTGAGTCACACATGACCTGATGCTCTTAAGACGCTTGATAAGAACCGTCTGCTTGTGCTGCCCTGTGTCACTTCTTATGAAGGGCAGAGAATAGATAGAATACACAAAGACTAAGATAAAGACATGAGTCCTACATCACCTCGCACCGATCATTTCTGCTCACACAAAAGGCGGAAACTTTCACTTCAAGCACTCTGAAGTAAAAGTTGACTATGCTCCATCCAGCATGTCTCAATGCTGCCTGTTAGATATGCGGGAACAGTTATGAGTTGCTTAGAATGAGCAACATTTCTCCAGAGTTTAGGTGTAATGATAGTTGCAAGCAAATGTCATTTCGATGAAAATCAGTGATGAAAAAAAGAAATTTGTATAATATTAGCAAATCTGTTTTTTTTTCATTTTTCCATGCGCATTGCTGACACCTTGCTAGAATGACTGCTACATGCGTCACACGTGTGTTTGGAGCAGAATGCGTCATGCATCCATTAATCCGGCTCGTAAATGGTATTTAAACCTGCACTTATCTGGACTTGGATCCAGACCCCCTATGCACCACCTGGGGGCTGCTCACACGTGTCAGGTGAGGTTGAAACATCTCAGAGCCAGGATGTTGTGTCAGCTGAATCCGTCTCCCGTTAATGGAAGACTAACCTTAAGAGTGATACGGCCTTCTTAATGTGTGACTTTAGAGCCTAGAACCCGGTGATGATGACTAAATGATGATGGATTCAGATATTAATCGGCACTTTTGGAGATAATCCACAAGCTGACAGCACCACCGGTGACGGTGTGAAAGGATATGGGCTGGTGACCATGCGGATGCAACAGCTGCGAGGACATGTTGTCTGCTTGAGGCAGAAGAAGACCACGGGTGCCAGCTCCGGGTATGGCACCACTAACACACTGGTGTCGCTGCTGTCGTCGTCGTCTCCATCGTCCCCGTCACACTCCACCACGTCCTCCTCGATCCTCTCTTCCTGAAGAATCCCTTCCTCCTCTATGTCCTCCTCTTCCTCCTCCTTTTTCTCGCGCTGCGGGGAGGGCCTGCGGGGGGAGGAGGAAGTGACGGCGGCGGCGCCATCGGAGATTGCCGCCGCCGACGGTGTTGCAACGCTGGGGCCCTCCTCCTCCTCGCTCGTCATGGCAACGCAACGGTCTGGGGGTGAGAGAAAGAGAGGAGACGTTGAAGTTACAAACATTTGTGTTTTTAAACAGTCAAAGTCAGTTTACTGACAACTTTCATGGATTCTTTTCCTTTTAATAATGGTCATAATGAATCATAATCGTGACACCCGGAGCTCAGCTTTGCGGTGCTGAACTTGAGTTGCTGAAGCCGACTGAAGGTCCGTCTCTCGTCCCGGCAGAGTAGTGTCTTAGCGGCGGGGAGTGAGGCTAGCTAGCTTTTATTCTTCCTCATTTGTGGTCTGAAGACATCAAGCATCAGGGGTCAAGGGGGTCCATGTGTATGGGGTTCCCTCTGCCAAGACTTTCCTCTTACGTGCGCTTCTCGTCGTGAACTGTCCCGTTACAGAGACGTACAGTAAGGACGAGTACGACCGGATTGTCTCACAAGCAAATCTTAAACCAATGAAATGCTGAATCATCATCAGACGATAGCCACTGGCTTCTGCCTCTCTTGCTCTTTACTGAGTCACTTCTTTTAACTGCATGCAACCAAATCGTGATCAAACGTGATCGGTCGATACTGCACGCTGTAAAAACAGACACCAGAATCCCTCCGACGGCAAAATATTGTCCAGTCACCTCCAGATGTATAGACATCAGATAAACAGTGTATTCACTCACTTTAGAGGCCATTTCTACCAAACAATGCCTTTTTAAAAATGATTGGGACATAATCCGCCATTTCACAAAGCAGTGGGTCCCCAGTGTCCCCAGTGTGAAAGACATCAAGTCAACTTTCCCTGCACACATGTAGACTGTAAATAAACACATAACACTTGAATAACAGTTAATAATGTTTGTTTGTTCGTCATATTCTAGTTTTAAAAAGGCCTTTATACTTTATTCACCAAGTCAAATTCCTTCCAACAAACCGTTTGTGATTGTGAAGTCTTTCATAGATCAGAGTCAACAACACAGAGCCACAGGTCACCATCGTGTTGGCAAACCGCGGCCCGTCAAATGTCAAGTCACACTCTTTCCATGAGACTGAGACTGTGTACGCTGTGGGACGGAATCAAAAAGTCACGGTGGCTACAACCTCTAGACGTTCTTTGTGAGTTCACCTGTCAAGAGTTTTACGTCATGCATATAAGAAGAAAGAAAGTGCATCTCAAATCACTGCATCACAGTAAACACCAGACTGGTTACGTGTCACGGATTATAACCTCAGTTTTAGTCGCTTTGATTGGAGTTAATTAAAAGAAGGCACTCAGACGACGAGCATCTCAAATATATATCGACTTATATTTAAGATCTGATCGCTGGAAGAAACAAGAGACAGAGTTAGAGAGGGAGAACAAGAGAGAGAAGACAGCAAACTGCTGAAAGCTTGGAAAGAGAAATGAAGGAGTGAGTAAAAGGAGTCAGAGGCTTAGTGTTGAGAGCGATCAATACAGCTGGAGAGGGAAGAGAAGGAACACCATGGATTTCCAATGAGCGAGCCAAAGAAAGCTACCGAGAGCTTAAGGAGAGCTCCTTAAAGAAGAGCGTGTCCTTTGAGTTACAGCGCATGTTGCTTTTCAGGGTGTTTTTATGACGACAAATGAAAGTAATGTGATAAAAAAAAGACACAACGGCGATATGGAATCATTTCGTCTGCATTAACTCAAAGTTTACATCTCCGCAAACAGAGAGAAGACAGCCAGCTGATTAGAGCAGAGTTACTGTATCCTGACAGTAACACAACAGAAGATGAGATTCAACTTCAGTGTGTGTCGCTAAACCAGAGCAGGAACTGGAGAACAACATCTCAGCAACTGGCAGAGCAATCATTGAGATATCATGAAGCTTTATGTTGTTGCAGCAGAGAGCAACAGAATCCCTGCTGGGAAAAGATGAGCACAAGATAAATGATGATGTGGAGAGGAGATTAGAAGTAACGAACAGAGTGTGAACATCAAAATTGTGGGTATTGCATTTGGATTTTGATAATTGAGTCAGTTTTTTGGGGCTGTTTGGATATAAAAACATGTGATTCAACAAGCCAATCAGATTGGACTCCCCTGAATGTCACATACAGGCTCGTTAGATGTATCTCAGTACCACCAACCGTGGCTTGAGTACGTGGAGTTTCAGACGAGGTGAATAACAGACTGTATATGAGAAGTGGACGTAGTCACTGTGACATCACCCACTGTTTTATGGACTACGGTTTTGGAAGTTCTAATTTGACATTTTGGCCGTCACCATCTTGGCTTTTTGCAACCAAGAGTAACACAAGAGTGTGGAACTAAGTACTAGCGGACGCTAAATGAGACATTTTTTGGCAACCAAAAATGTTACAATTTTAACTTTCATGAGGTGAAAACCACTCTTGAAACTAGAGATTGAGACCATAAACTCATGTTTACAATGTTTACTGAGGTAATAAATCAAGAGAGAAGTAGAGTCATTTTCTCATAGACTTCTATACAACCAGAGGAGTCGCCCCCTGGTGGTCACTAGAGAGAATGCAGCTTTAAGACATGAAGCATCGGCTTCACTCGGTAGAACCGGAGGTTGCCGTCTGGTCTTTTATCACAGTGACCAAGCAGAAAATGTGAAGGAACCTTACAACCTTACCCTGACTAGTTATTGTCTGTCCAAACACAATCAGATTCTTAAAGGGCCACTCCACCAACCAGTATACCAGGCATGGAGAGCACAATCCAGACACACAAGCACATTCACACAGGGAATTCTAGTTGTTCTTTGGCCCTCATGTATATTTACTGTTTACGGAACACACTCAGCTAAATTAACTAAATCCTTCTGAGTGAGCTGTGACTGTGTGTGTGTGTGTGTGTGTGTGTGTGTGTGTGTGTGTGTAGTATACAGCACATACTGTACCTCTTATGCATTAGCTTGATTGTGCTCAAAATACAATGGATCAAAACTCTGTGTGTGAGTGTGTGTGTGTGTGTGTGAAAAACAAATGGAAAAAAGTACATTTGCTCATTCATTTCGGCTTTAATGCTAAGTTATAAAAAGTCTTTATAATTGCTTAGTTTAGCCCTCAGAACTTAAAAAGATACTTACTTTTAACTCAAAAACAACATTTTACTCACCTTTTTGTAGTGTATTTGGCTGCTCACACTGTGTGTGGGGGGGGGTAAAAGCCGCTGTCTGTTAAATTACAGCTATTACTCATCAGTGTGATTCAGTAACATGGACCATTAGTTCCGTTGAACAAGGTGGCAGACATGAGACCCCGATGTTCCTCTAAATGAATTATTCCCTCCTCAGTGGCAGTGATGTCGACTGTGCGTTCTCTTCCTCTATTATTTAACAGTGAAACAGCTTTTGCACAGCCTGTTGACATTAGTGCTTTGAATGAGCCAGTAGTTAACTGAGGAGAAGTGATGATGATATTATAATCAAATGGACTTCTTTATTGATCTAAAGCTGTTCTACCAGAGAGGAACTTTGGTTCTACAGTCCTACATGTGTGACAGCATCAGATGTAAAAGACACTGAAGGACTTTACACACTGGGGGCTTTATCGTTCGTGCAATTAATTTACACGACAACACACAACGTTGATTGTTTTTCTGTGCGTTTTTGGACCGCGAATAAGGGCATCGACCAATCACGTGCAGAGCTGTCATTGTCAAAGCGGACGCTGTAGTTTACAACGACACAGAGGCTACGTGATCCGAACCAGATGGTGCAGAGACGAGGAATGCACGGAGCTACGACGCCTGTTCAAAGTCCCTCTGTGGCCAAAAAGTAGTAAATATTAACTTCCCAACAAAAGCACAGAAATCTGAAACTTCTGGACACATTCACAATACTAAGTACCTCCCGGTCTCTGGCTGTAAAAGAACGATTCACAACAGCAGCTAGCCGGTCCCACTGGCCCCTAATGAGCAGTAATGTGTCACCAACTCCTGCACTTTGCATCTTTAATTGGAAAAGGCTTCTCAGATGCACTTTCTTTGTACAATAGTTGCTTTTTTGCAACGCTCCTATCTTGATGACTTCGACATCTTTACCGCCGAAAGATGCTGGATTTGCAGCCTCTGGACATAAAGTCAATAACACCTCACGTCTGGCCACATATTGCACCATTTGGAGTTGTTTGGAAAGGTTTTAGGACAGTACGCCCAGGGGTCCCATCCAGAGAACAAAGAAAAGAAAACACAAAAGCCAAACCATCTTCTGACCACAGCACATCACATCATCTCATTTCTGCTCATGCATTTTCATATAATCTTGAAGGTCTTTATGCTTTAGGGCGGGGCTACACAGTGATTGACAGATCTCTACCAGAGACGTATACGCCGTCTCTACGTGACTTTTCCTCAGTCCAGGTATGGTCACTTCCTGTTCATTGGTTGCAAAAAAACCAGCATGGCAACGGCTGTAATCCAAGATGGCGACGGAGAGTCAACAATGATTGATTTGCCACGGAACCTTCCGTACTGCAGTAACATAACTTCCGTAGTTATTTTAACCCAAACCACAATATCTTTCTTAAACCTAACTAAGAGGTTTGTCGCCTAAACCCAACCAAGTCCAAGACCGTACGAATGTAACGAGCTGAAATCGACACGTGTTGCTGGATCTGTCGTTGGAAAACGCACCAAAAAATAACTTTTAGGTATATCGACATATGAGGATATGTTCCTTAGAGGCGGCCCTGTAGAACTCAACAAAGAAAATGCAAAGAAAAAGTAAGAGGTGACCCACATCATCACACACTGAAATGCCTACACGCTCTCTCTCTTTAGCTAGCGGCTACACTGTCGGAAGCTAACCGCTAGCTAACAGGGCTGGTGTTGGATGGGTTTTGATGCGACACAGATCCTCATTAGTGAGCTCCAGACTTAACGGCCCGTGTCTCTCTCACACACACACACACACACACACACACACAGAAAGACCAAACTCAGGGTAACACACGCATGAGTGGACAGATGAGCGTGAAACGGGTTCGTACACACTCATTAGGACTGAACCTCGCAGCCACAGCGCCTGAGACAAGCACAC